TCTTGATTAAGTGGGCAAAGACTGGGTTCAGATAAATAACCGAGCCGTCCCTAGGAATGAAAACCTGCAATGCTAAACTCTAAACTTCATTTTTTATTCAGACTTGGCATTTTCAGGAATTGTCACCACCACACACCACATTTATATTTTAAGAGACCCATAAAACTGATGAAATATTCCAGTTATTTCCTGTTTTGCAGTCTGCGCATTAGTTTTCTGTTCATGTTCTTGAACTGAAGTGTTTTTTTGCCTTTTTTTAATGAAACACAGGTAACAGCTTTCAAAATTCAATCGGTTCTTATTCCTCTATGTACTGTAGGTGATGTGATTCTATTCAAACACATTTTGGCAGCCAGTCAATGTAGCACAATGCTAACCTGCTGTAATATAGTGCTGTACATGATTTTTAGGCCATCAGTCCAAAGCATGAACGCCGGAATGTTTTCTGATTATGCGGCACAGGATAGGAGATAAATCATTTAGTTGGGCATTTGTGTGAAAGCTGTGGACGGGCTCTTGGCACAGTCAGCAGCCCCATTTTTATTACTTCTGGTTCCACAGCTGCAGTGTGAAGGATGATGCAGATTTGACTGAAACGCTTTTGCCAGCATTTCCCCGGCATCTACAGAGACGGTGTAAGCTCAAATCCCGTTCCATCCCACAGGCACATCATCACTCTAAATCCACTGAATTTTAATAAGCACTTAAAAGCTTCGCCGTTTACTCTAGATCATGAGTGATATTGTGAAATGCTCATGTCTGCGTACTACTGAGGGTGTCGTGTGTTGTTGGATTCTGTTTCTGGAAGCTGTCGGCCGTTTTTCTGGGGATAAAGGCCCTCTTGCACGCTGTGTGAGTGCATGCGATTCAGCCAGCTGTGCTACAGAATGGGGGTCCAGTTGCCTTCCCTCATGTCAGTGTAGAGCCGGGTTATTGCTGCCTGCTGGCTGGTTGGTTTTTCTGTTTCAGTCTGGGAGCATTAGAAATTCAGTTCAGCCTCCAAGACCACCCACTCCAGACCCCATTCTCACTCCTCCCACCCCCCCCCCCTCCTCACAGCATCACTGCTTCTCACTGAATACGCTAAGCCTGATGAACACAGCAATGCACTTCAGCTTTGTCTGTGTGTGAATCGAACCGGAGGGGAAGGGTGCTGAAACCTGAGGACCGACGGCAGGACGTGTGCGGTCAATTCCGAGGCGTGGGGCTGCTGTGATGGAGTGCCATTGTTAATTTCTCCGTGGGCTCCCCAGCGCCGTGCCCGGACCTCGCTCGGGAATGTGTTAGAGCGCGAAACTCCTGGCATGCGGTAGCGCCTCGGGGCTGTTTATGTGCTTTTTCTTCTCGGAGAGGGGGGGTCGGGTATTGCCCGTCGGCAGCAGGAGAGAGAAATGTTATGGTCTCCGAGATTTTCCCTGTCCGATATCCACGTGCGGCTGACGGCGAAGGGGCTCCTCCGGAACCTGCAGCTCCTGCCGGGATGCAGGAAGAGCACGATCGTGTTCCAGACAGGTCTGTACGGGTATCCGCCGTCGCGCCGCTCGGGGTGCACGGCCTGGCAGTGCCGCTCGCGAGGCGAGAGGGGAGTGAGAGGAGTGTGAGAGGCTCTCGGGATGCTCGCTTTTCTTTCTGTGCTTGTCCTGCATGGTAACCCGTTTCTCACGCATCACTCAGGCATCTTCTCTGCCTCCCGGCATGCAAACTGAAACAGCCTGAAGCCCGTGTGGGTAATTGCCTCGTTAATACTTTTAAGATGTGCTTAAATACATGAGGGAGGAAAAAAAGTTCCGTCACAAAATACAGTGAAAATAATCTTAAGGTAGGCAGCGTGTAGTTGTGTTTTTAAAGGGCTGCTGTATCATGTTAGCTGTTTTTTTTTACATGCTCCATCTTTAAGGGCTAGAGAGCTTCTTCTCTGGAGCATAGAATGTAGGTTAGCAGAGCCTCTGTTCACCAGGCTGAAGTGAGGCTGCTCGTTCTCCCGAGCGTTAATTTGAGAGGATGCATACCCAGGGGGAAAAAAAAAGCTAACGGTTTCTCTTAGCAGAATCTCCAGGCTAAAAGCATTGTGCTCCTATGATGAGATGCAGCGAAAATATGAGAAGAATGCATACTTCTGGAAGGGGGGGAGAACTGGAAGTATCGGGCATTCCATGTTCCTCTAAAGGGACCAGCGACTTTATTAAAAGTTCATGTAGGAGTAATGTAGAAGAGATTTGAAGTAACACTGTAAAAGATTTAAGGGGATTATCTGAATTCATATTAGTTATGGTAATGAATTTGGGGGACTTCACCGTTTGTTTCTGCTCAGATCTGTAATTATCTAAATCATCGGTGGTACTTTTAACACAAGCAGAAAAATAAAAAGCTCTTTGTTCGGGTTTTGTGATGCAGAGTGGCGGGCAGACCGCGGAGTTAACACAATCTGGGTCAGTGAAAGATTCTGGTGAAACAGATGTGAAATATCTGAGAATGGATTAGTAGTTTTGCATTGCTGTTCAGATTCCCCAGAATGTACTGGCAAGCGAGTTCCTGTCCTTTAAACTTCCAGCCATATTTGGTGGTTCAGTGATGAGGGGCACATTTTTGTGCTTTCTGCCATCTTACTGACTAATTGTTTTTCTTTTGAAAGAGCGTGAGTACTGTATATGATCATGATAAATGACCACATTTTAAAACCATTAGGCTGTTTCCACAGAGACGGCCATTTCCTCGGTTTGGAATGGATTCATTTTTTTTAAATTTTGTTTACTGTAAGTCCCCAGTCTGTAACAACATGGGCATAAATGGCATTAACTGGTATCACACGAGCGTCCAATGTTTTCTTGAACTGAGC